GGATTGTACATAGAACAATACCGGACCTCTGAAAAATATAAGCATGCATATGTACTCAGTACTTGGTTTGGGCCCCTCTTGCAGCAATTACTGCCTCAGTGCGGCGTGGCATGGAAGCTACCAGCCTGTGGCACTGCTGAGGTGTTATGGAAGACCAGGATGCTTCAATAGCGGCCTTCAGCTCTTCTGCATTGTTCGGTCTCATGTCTCTCATCTTTCTCTTGGCAATGCCCCATAGATTCTCTATGGGGTTCAGGTCAGGCGAGTTTGCTGGCCAATCAAGCACAGTAATCCCACGGTCATTGAACCAGGTTTTGGTGCTTTTGGCAGTGTGGACAGGTGCCAAGTCCTGCTGAAAAATGAAGTCAGCATCCCCATAAAGCTCGTCTGCGGAAGGAAAATCTTCTAGTAGACGGCTGTGTTGACCCTGGACTTAATGAAGCACAGTGGACCAACACCAGCAGATGACATGGCTCCCCAAATCAACACAGACTGTGGAAGCTTCACACTGGACTTCAAGCATCTTGCAGTGTGTGCCTCTCCATTCTTCCTCCATACTCTGGGTTCTTGGTTTCCAAATGAGATGCAAAAGTTGCTCTCATTAGAAAAGAGGACTTTGGACCACTGAGCAACAGACCAGGTATGTTTTTTTTTCTTTAGCCCAGGTAAGACGCTTCTGATGTTTGTTGTTCAGGAGCTGCTTGACAAGAGGAATACGACATTTGAAGCCCATGTCCAGGATCCGTCTGTGTGTGGTGGCTCTTGATGCACTGACTCCAGCCTCAGTCCACTCCTTGTGAAAGTCCCCAACACTTTTGAATGGCCTTTTCCTGACAATCCTCTCCAGGCTGCTCTCATCCCTGCTGCTTGTGCACCTTTTTCTTCCACATTTTCCCCTTCCACATAACTTTCTATTAATGTGCTTTGATACAGCACTTTGGGAACATCCAACTTCTTTTGCAATTACCTTTTGATGCTTTCCCTCCTTATGGAGGGTGTCAGTGATGGTTTTCTGCACAACTGTTAGGTCAGCAGTCTTTCCCATGATTGTGATTCCTACTGAACCAGACTGAGAGACCATTTAAAGGCTCAGGAACCCTTTGCAGGTGTTATGGCTTAATTAGCTGATTAGAGTGGGACACTTTGAGCCTTGAATATTGCACCTTTTCACAATATTCTAATTTTCTGAGTTTGTGGATTTGGGGTTTTCATGAGCTGTAATCCATAATCATCACAATTATGACAAATCACAGCTTGAACTATCTTGCTTTGCATGTAATGAGTCTATCTCATATATTAGTTTCACCTTTTAAGTTGCATTACTGAAATAAATGAACTTTTGCACGATATTCTAATTTTTTGAGTTTCTCTCTCTCTCTCTCTCTGTGTGTGTGTGTGTGTGTGTGTGTGTGTGTGTGTGTGTGTGTGTGTGTGTGTGTGTGTGTGTGTGTGTGTGTCCCCTGCCATTCGTGGCCGCAGCTGTCAATCACTGGGTCCCGGGTGGTGATTGCTCTCCGGCGCCCGATGATTGCCGAGGATCTCCAATTGGGGGGGGGGGGGGGAGAGAACTGTTGGCAAACAAAACAGTTCTCCTCCCTGTCAGCTCGTGCATTCTGCTTTGAATAGCTGTGCATAGCACAACCATGCAAAGCAGTTTGCTTACAGTGAAGCAGACATACAGCCCTATAGTAAAACACACCCAGCGTACAGTTAACCCTTTGATTGTCCCACATGTTAACCCCTTCCTGCCCAGTGTAGTACAGTATCAGTGCTTTTTTATTAGCACTGATCACTGTATTGGTGTCATTGAGGATGTCGGTGACACCAAGTAAGTTCCCCCCCAATGTCAGAATGCCCGCCGCAGTCCTGCTATAAGTTGCTAATCGCCACCATTACTAATAAGTTAAAAAAAAATTCCTGTGTCTATACCGCCATTTAAATGTAAACACTATAACTTTCACGTAAACCAATCAATTTACACGTATTGGAATTTTTTTTTAGCAATAGGCCAATACATTTTGGCCTAAATGGCTGAATTGATGTTTTTATTTTATTTTTTTTTAATATAATATGAAAGTGCTATTAAGAAAAATCACATACAACAACAGTGAAGTCCAATCCCTAATCAATCCATCAAATATGAACCATAACCTTCCTGTGTCAACACAGTGAAAAATAAAGTCCAAAAGTGAAATATGATAAAATCAATCCTTCTAACGATATCCACGATGTATACACCTAAAAAAGAAATATATAGTGCATTACCTTTTTTTTTTTTTTTTTTTTTTTTTTTTTTTTTTCTTTAAATAAACCACTCTAGTGAATACCCCATGCAATTATGCAGTGAATATTTGTGAAAAATAGTGAGAAAAAAACGTGAAACAATCAGTGAAATCACTGTGTTTGTGAATCGCTCTTCAGTGCCACGCAAAAAAGAAACAGTTCAAACCGGTGTGCACTTCTAATTTATAGTAAGGATACCCTTACCAACAATCCCAATAGATCATGCCTCTAATAATCCAGGAACTGAACAAGATAGCCCTCCTGTGGTTCTTCCCCAGGCATATGTAGTCTCCACGGCACTGCCTGGATTCCTTAGTCACAGTACTCCAAGTGTTTCCAAACGCTTCACTCCATCCAGAGATAAAACATGAGGGACAATAATAGTGTAATACCGCCAATCACATTACAATATCAACTTTATTAAAACTGCTCACATTATTAGCCTGTAAAATCTCTTAATATATAAATGAAGGAAACTTCTCTGCCATCCAGGAAACGTCCAGGTGATCAGATATGATCTTTGGCCTTCTCCAAAATGGCCACCAGTCAGCTTCCGTGTGCGTCGTCTTGACGTCACTTGCCTTGACGCGTTTCGTCATCGACTTATTCATAAGGGATCAGCTGATTGATTGGGTGTCCTGGTGGTACAGGACAGGCTGCAAAAAGTGGTGGGGGGTTGGGGTGGGTTGTTTGGGAGAGTCCCCTACTGTTGCTTGCAAGAGCGATCCAGCGGCTAGTTGGCCATTCAGATTGCTTTTACAAGAGAACCATCCATTTGGTTCTAAACAGGGCTAAATGCACAAAAACAAAAAAAGAAAAATTTCCCGACACCCAGGCAACATTCACTCCGCCACTGTATTTACAGCCAAACTCCAGCTAACACTTATTTTAAATTGACCAAATATTGAGTTTTGTCACCTCTGAGGCTGAATTCTGAACTTCCATAGCAGGTTTATTTAAAGCTCCACTTGGGATTTGTATTTATTTATATATATTTTTTTTTCTCCTTTTGGGATCAATTCTAATCTCAAACTAATCTAATGTCCGTGTTTTCTTAAACCACAGCCCTGAATCTTCTCTTCTGTTTACTTCCTGCTTGGGGTACCTCTTTTGGTGTCCACGTCACTGCCTGCGTGACGTGGACACTAATATTTGGATGGCCATCAGCGGGTTCTCTTTCAGGAGAGAGGAGGACTGATGTCATCAGAGGTACGGTAGAGGACTGACAGTCACAGGGTTCCATCACAACACTAGATGAGCGGACCCCTGCTGGCTTCACAAGGTATGGTGGGAAAAATTACTGTCAGCATAGGTTTGGGAAGGTGGTGCTAGGGGTGGTAAAAAGTGTGTGGTGTGTGTGTGTGGTTTTTTTTTTGTTTTTGTTTTTTTTCCTCCTGAACTGCTTCAGACTCCTTGTAGCATCCCCTTCTGATGCTGTTTTGGATCCACTTGGGTGAATGGAATTTGCTGTTTGGATGGGACTTTTCCTTTGTTCACAAATTGCTGCTTCGTTGGATCTCAGGCATCAATTCGCAGTCGTCCTAGAGTTTGGGGGGGCATCAGATTTGTTTTTCAGCAGGATCCCTCTTAGAACTTATCCCAGAGAGGCCTCTGTTGTACTGGTGTGAGGGTGTCTAGTGTCAACCTATGCTCCATTACAGTAGCTATGTCACCGGTTTAGAAGTAGTTTTTAGTTTTAGGGGTAGATTCATACACCTAACATGTTAAACAGGCAGACTTTGTGGAATCAAATCCAGGGTTCCCTGGTGGAGTCAGAAATCCCTCACGCCCTTATTGTACCCCTGTTGAGTCTCACTTTGTAAGGTGGTGGTCTGTTCTGACAATCTCTTTTGACCCTTATGTAGTTAGATGAGTAGAGGCTTAGTCTGACAGGTCTTTTTCCAGTGATTATTTTCCAAGGTTCCTTATCCAATGGCTTTTCCTACAAGGGCTTGACTCCAGTTCTTGTTTACCATGTCAAAATGTAGGGATTTTCCCTTAAAGGTAATATACCTTTCAGCTTGTTTTGGTGGGTTCAAGGTGCTATTTTATCACCTGGTTTTCCTTCCTTGGACTATATTTGGTAGGTTTCGACTACAGCAGACCAGGAACATCTCACAAGACTTGCAGTTTTGCAGATGCTCTGACTCCGTTGTCTAGCTATTATAATTTAACAATTGTCAGTCACTCAAATCCTTACACCTGCCCATTTTTTTTTTTTTTTTCCCCTGCTTTCAACACCTCAACTTCAGGGGCATTTTGTTCACCTGCTGCGCATATATATATATTAGATAGATATCCTACATACTTTTCTGGTGCTACAATTGAACAATCAATGTTGTTCAATTTTCTTCTTGTTGTTGCTGATTGGCGTGTGTGTGCCCGCCCTGAGTATAGTATCTACCAATATACTATTTTATGAATGATGCATCTTTCTATCCTAATACATGCCACCTGTAAATCTTTTCAACTGTTTTGTAAATGGAAAGTGAATCTCTTTTCCTATGTATTTCTGTAAGCCATTTTATTAGGTATTACATTTGTAGAAGACAAGTGATTTGATGTGAGGTTTTCCTAGGTTTAAAATATAAACCCATTTAATAATTTTAAACACAGGTTTAAAAATACATTTGTCTGCATGTATTTGATTTATTGATGTTATAGGGTTTTTTTTGCTTTTTTAACCTTGATAACTTCTGTATTTTATTCATTTTTAGGTTTGGGATATTGGCGGTCAGCCAAGATTTCGCAGTATGTGGGAGCGTTACTGTAGAGGTGTTAATGCGGTTGTGTAAGTGGTCAATTCCTAAAACTCGCCATTCAGGTTTTGCTGTGATAAAAGTGGCATTCATAAAGATGGATACTTTCTTTAAAAGGTTTAGCCAGAGGTGCTGCAGCATTAAAATTTCACTGTTCTATTTGTATTACCACCAGTAGTATGCTAAACATGTAAATGTAAACACTGTATAGTTCCATGGGGGTCAACAAAAAGCAATAGATTGATCCAAGAAGTACAGGAAATTCAGTTCTTGTACTTTTACACAAAGTTATCTTGCTAACTGGATGCACCTTGGGAGAGAATGTAATGCTGTAGAAGACATTCTGCTGCAGCGAAAATTGGTATGAGCGCCTTTTTTGTCCCTACTGAGATCTGCTCAAGACCAGACTATGCAGTTAAGGAGTTCCTGGCAAAAGTCCTTTTCTGTTAGTGCTAAAGATCATATACTTGCTACATATAGAATGCTGTCCAAGTGGTTCATAACAATAAGCACAGCATATAAAATGCAAAGAAGGTGATGTGTGAGGACAACCAGTTTCCATGCGTAGCTGATTTTTAAAAAAATTCTTCTGCATCTAAGTGAATGTAAGTTTGTAGGCTCATGTACAGTAACTGTTTGCTGTAGGAGGTGGATGTTTCTGTAAACATCTAATACATGTAAATATGTGATGATTTTAGGAGACAAATTAGATGTTGGATCACATAGAGCCTCTTAGAATTTTTTGTCGTAATAGACACACTTTAAAACCAGCCATACATGAATCAAAATTTGGCTGATTCAGCGTGGGATGGGAGGTTGTAGAGAGTCGATCTACCAGATGACTTCTGTACTACCACCCTGTTGGAATTTCCCCGCTCTATCAGCTCTGCAGGCTATAGCCTGCAACACTGATCAGTGTATTCTGATGGCAATGAAGTTTCCTTGCTGTCAGAATTCTCCTCCTGCTCTCAGCGGGGAGGATTCCCCATCCACATAGTGTGTGGATGGGGAAATTAAGTCAGATTTTTGTTTCTTCAGCCTCATCTTTGAGCTGCCTAAGTGATGTAGTGTAAGGAGAGATTTTATTTCTCATTTCCAGATCTGGAGTAATACTGCTGTGTTTTTTTGTTTTTTTTCTTGAACACAATGTATTGCTGCAGTGAGATGATTGCTTTTTTGTTTTCAGGTACATGGTAGATGCAGCAGACTTGGACAAAGTGGAAGCATCTAAATATGAATTGCACAACTTGCTAGACAAACCACAGTTGCATGGAATTCCTGTAAGTAATGTTTTGCATTTGCCTGTAAAAAAAAAAGTAATACATTATTAAACCTATGAATATGTACATTATTATAATGTAGCATTTTTTAGGTTCATTTACAACATTTTTATGTCTCATGAAGAAATCTAACATATAAATATGCATATTGGATCAAGCCAAGTAATGGGTAATCTCTAAACTTTATTTTACTGCTGGTAATTTAATTGATGCCAGTGGCATGTGCCACAATACCAAAGCAGATAAATTTTGTTTAGGTTATCTGCGCCACCTGTGGAAGATTCTCGTGAAATAAAACTGACTCTGGGGCTCTGTGTCTAATTAACAAAGGGATTGCAGCAGTTTTCGATATAGAAAAGCACCATTGTGAAAGGCTGAGGTCACCTCTACAGTAAAAGGGCCCTGTAGCAATCATGCATACAAAGATGGACGCGGTCCTCCATCTTGTTGAGGGTCTTCTATCATGTCCTACTCCCAAATCAGCTTTCCTCATCCCCCCCCTCCCTCTCTCTTGAGTGACGTGGTCTGTTTGATGCAGATCACAGGCAGCAAACTCATTGGGAGGGCGTCATGGTTATAAATCACTCACTATCTGGTGCCCCTCTGTCTAGGAAACTCTTGCTAGCGAAGGGCTCGTCAAGCCATAAACAAAGTCCTTCACTGAGCTCAAAGGCATTCCAGGGTGTAGTAAAAACAGACTTACATTTAAAAACTCACTCTTTCATATAAGTTGATATCTTCACGTAGGACATAATTACCTAAACATGGAGCCCATATTCGGACGGCTCATTTTAAGGCCATTCTCCTCATATATTACATCCCCTATCTGACATATACAGGAGAGCAGAAAATTATATCTCCTGAACCATTCAAGCAAATATTTTGTGTTTCAAGTCTAACCGTTCAGCAAGTGATTCTGCGTAATAATCTACTCATGGATAGGATGTTGTATGTATCCAGGGTAAATTATGAACCATAATATAATTTGTGCAGGCTTTGGTCATAGCCTGAGGTCTCCACCTACAATTCCCGCCCCAAATGAGGCGATTGGTTTACTGCTCCAGGGAGACACCCTGTGGAATTGCTAGAATAAGCTAAGCTAGTCTGAGCTGAGTGTGTGAGAGTTGAAGATTCTCCCTTTAACATCGGAACCAACTTTTGGAAGAAAATGCCCTTTTGCTCAGAAAACTTGAAGCTGCTTAACCCAAGGCTTTTGTCAAGTACTTTATCTATCTAAACTTTTCTGTTATCTCTTTGCTGTGCTGTTGTTCTCTGTATATGTGTATATATATATATATATATATATATATATATATATTGGCTACATCTTTTTCTGTAAATATTTTTATTGCACCCTTTTGACCTTTTTTTTAGTAATAGATCTTACTTTCTGAAAGTGTTGAACTGTTTCTAACGCTCTTTAATGCAAACTACGAATTCCTGCCTCTGAAGAGCGCTACTCTATAACCTGCCTGCGGTGACAGTGGTATACAGACCATTATCCAACCATTATAGGCTTTTTGCTAATATTGCCGAGTTTCCTCTTTCTCTGTACAAAACGGAGGTGGTGGCAGTGTGAAGGGTTAATTGCGTAATTAACCTGACCCAGTAACAATCGCTCTCAGGCTGCAAATACACAGATTGTAGTCCATTAGCTGGAAAAACTTTGTGCAGGGTGCAGCTGGGTGTGGCATTGTTACGCACGTGATAGCGCGGTTTTAGATTGGCTAGTCCTTCAGTCACGAGTTTGGTGAGAAGGGCTGGGTTTGATGCTGCGATCGTCACAGGCCCAGTAAATATTAAAAAAACAAAAAAACAAAAAAAACTGCTGTGTAAAATGTTGATTAAACTTGTCATACCTGTAGGTTATTTGGGACACCCTGAAAGCCTAGCCAAAACCATCAGTTAGCAACCCCCACATGCTGCCCTGTTGCTATGTTAATACCACTGCATGCTCACTCCCAGTAACTAAAAATGGGTTTAGTGTTGATAAAGGCCAGTTACGGTGCTTATTAGACAGGAGCTGTCAATTGGGGTCTGGTTTAATTTCACCAACAGGAAGTCAAGTCCTTTGTAGCAAAAACGAAATGGTAGGGGCAGATGTACAGATGCATTTCAATAAATTAGAATATCATCAAAAAGTTCATTTATTTCATTAATTCAGTTCAAAAAGTGAAACCTATATTATAGCAATCCATTACACACTGAGTGATATATTTTCAAGAATTTATTTATTTTAATTTTGTTGATTATGGCTTACAGCTACAACCAAACATTCAGTATTTCCGAAAATTAGCATATTGTGAAAGTTCAATGTTGTGGACTCATGGTGTTACACTCTAATCAGCTAATTAACTCAAAACACCTGTAAAGGTTTCTTGAGCCTTTAAATGGTGTCTGTCTGGTTCAGTAGGTTACACAATCATGGAGAAGACTGCTGACTTGAAACATATCCAAAAGACAGTCATTGACACCCTCCGCAAGGAGGGTAAGTCACAAAAGGCCATTGCTAAAGAAGCTGGCTGTTCAGAGTGCTGTATCTAAGCATATTAATGGAAAATTGAGTGGAAGGAAAAAATGTGGTTGAAAAAGGTGCACAAGCAACAGGGATAACCTCATCCTTGAAAGGATTGTGAAGCAAAGGCCATTCAAGAATTTGGGGGGAGATTCACAAGGAGTGGACTGCTTCAAGAGACACCACACACGGACGTATCCAGGACATGGGCTACAACTGTTGCATTCCTTGTGTCAAGACACTCCTGAACCAGATACAACATCAGAAGAGTCTTACCTGGGCTAAGGAGAAAAAGGACTGGACTATTGCTCAGTGGTCCAAAGTCCTCTCTTTGAAGTAAATTTTTGCATTTCATTTGGAAGTCAAGGTTCCAGAGTCTAGAGGAATAGTGGAGAGGCACAGAATCCAAGCTGCATGAGGTCCAGTGTGAAATTTCCAGTCAGTGAGGATTTGGGGAGCCATGTCATCTGCTGGTGTTGGTTCACTGTGTTTTATCAAGTCCAAACTCAGTACATCCCTCTACCAGGAAAATGTAGAGCACTTCATGCTTCCCTCTGCTCACCATCCTAATGGAGATGCTGATTTCATTTTCCAGCAGGACTTGGCACCTGCCCACACTGCCAAAAGTACCGATATTGGTTTAATGATTATGGTATCACTGTGCTTGATGGGCCAGCATACTCCCCTCACTTAAACCCCATAGAGAATCTGTGGGGTATTGTCAAGAGGAAGATGAGACACCAGACCCAACAATGCAGACGAGCTGAAGGCCACTATCAAAGCAACCTGGGTGTCCATAACACCTCAGCAGTGCCACTGGCGGATTGCCTCCATGTCACGCCGAATTGATGCAGTAATTCATGCAAAAGGAGCCAGATCAAGTATTGAGTTTATACTATACTGTACAGGGACATGCGTTTTCAGTAAACCAACATTTCTATATTACAAATCCTTTTTTATTGTTCTTGTGTAATCTAACTTTGAGTTACTGAATTTTGGGTTTCACTAGCTGTAAGCCATAATCCTCAATTAAAAGAAATGCTTGCAATGTCACTCTGTTTATAATGAATCTCTATCATTTTGAGTTTCACTTACTGAATTGAGTTACTGAAATTAACTTTTTGATGATCTAGTTTGAGATGCACCTGTAGTTCGTTTCTGGCCAGCAATGCACAGTGCTGATCACACCAGGTGGAATTAATTCTGCCTACAGGAGCAGTAATTCAGGATCTATCAATTGATGGGTGCAACCCATCTATCTTCTGCCCGTCATTTTAGTCACAGATCCTGTTGCATTCATAGAAACTGTAGTGCAGTTTCTATCAATGGAGCAGCTGGTGGAAATACAGTGAAGGAAATAAGTATTTGATCCCCTGCTGATTTTGAATGTTTGCCCACTCAAAGAAAAGAACAGTCTAAAAATCGAATGGTAGGTGTATTGTAACACTGAGAGACAGAATAGCAACAGAAAATTCAAAAGAAATGCATGTCTAACAAATTATGCACTGATTTGCATGTTCATGAGGGAAATAATTTTTTGATCCCCTATCATTCAGCAGGATTTCTGGCTACCAGGTGTCTTTCATACAGGTAACAAGCTGAGATTAGAAGCAGTCTCTTAAAGGGAGTGCTGCTAATTTCATTTTGTTACCTGTATAAAAGACACCTGTCCACGGGAGCAATCAAACAATCAGATTCCAAACTCTCCACCGTGGCAAAGACCAAAGAGCTGTCCAAGGATGTCAGGGACAAAATTGTAGACCTACATAAGGCTGGACTGGGCTACCAAACTATCACCAAGCAGCTTGGTGAGAATGTGACAACAGTTGCTGGAATCATTCGCAAATGGAAGAAACCCAAAACAACTGTCAGTCTCCCTAGGTCTGGTGCACCATGCATGATCTCACCTTGTGGAGTGTCAATGATCGTGAGAACAGTGAGGAATCATCCCAGAACTACACGTGAGGATCTTGTCAATGATCTCCAGGAAGCTGGGACCACAGTCACCAAGAAAACAAGTGGTAACACACTATGCCGACAAGGATTGAAATCCTACAGTGCCCACAAGGTCCATCTGCTCAAGTAAGCACATGTTCAGGCCCGTCTGAAGTTTGCCACTAAACATCTGAATGATGCAGAGGAGGACTGGTTGAAAGTGTTGTGGTCAGATGAGACCAAAATCGAGCTCTTTGGCATCAATTCAACTCACTGTGTTTGGAGGAGGCGGAATGCTGCCTATGACCCAAAGAACACCATCCCAACTGTCAAACATGATGGTGGAAACATTCTGGTTTGGGGGTGTTTTTCTGCTAAGAGGACAGGACAACTGCACCACATCAAAGGGACGATGGACAGGGCAATGTACCATCAAATCTTGGGTGAGAACCTTCTTCCCTCAGCCAGAGCATTGAAAATGGGTCGTGGATGGGTGTTCCAGCATGACAATGACCCAAAACACACGGCCAAGGCAACAAAGGAGTGGCTCAAGAAGAAGCACATTAAGGTCCTGGAGTGGCCTAGCCAATCTCCAGACCTTAATCTGATTGAAAATCTGTGGAGGGAGCTGAAAGTTCGAGTTGCCAAATGTCAGCCACCAAACCTTAAAGACTTGGCGAGGATCTGCCAAGAGGAGTGGAATAATTAGAGAAAAAAAGAGATGTTATTTTACAATAATAATATATTTGACATGGTATTCAAACTATATAACATGAAGACTTCTGAGACTTTATGTAAAATGTTTTTTTTTTTTGTTTTTTTTTCCTCATGTCTTCAAAATAACATTTTTATCTCTAGTCTGGACGTTATAAATAGGTTCTCTAAAGCTATGGCATGAAGGGCAATATTTGATGAAACCAGCTGCATCCTGGTAGCATGTTGGGAATTGTATGTAATATAGGGGTTGTACAAAGTTTGGTATGTGTTCCTCAAACAAGGAATTGATCTGGATACATTACACTGTAGCTATGCTACTTCTGACCACTAGAGGGGGTGATTTACAAATTTAAGCTCTGATACCAGTAAACCTATGTACAGTACTGCAAGTACACAATAAATATGCTGATTCTGCCATTTCATTCCCCTTTTTTTTTTTTTTTTTTTTTTTTTTTAAGACTTTTAACCAGCTGATGCCTGGCCTATAGCCAGATGGCGGTGGGGCAAACAGCTCGTCCCTCCGGGTGGATGCCATATGGCGTCCTTTCTGGAATGCGTATGCCACAGCCGATGACCGATCTGTGTACCAGCCCTGTTGCCAGTACCATGTGACCTGCTGTGACCAATCACAGCAGGTCACATGACAGTTGTATACAATGGATGGCATGAAAGGAAGCCATCCATTGTATACAAGTGTGTCTAGCTGTGAATGGTCACAGCGATTACATGCGCAAGCTGGACCAATTACAGCCCAGCTGTGTCATATGATTATCCATGGCCAAATCGCAGCTAATCACAAAAACCCTGAATGAATCAATTTCATTCAGGTAAATGCTTGCTTATAGCAAAGTAATACTTTGCTATAAGCAAATTGTGTGTGTGTGTAAAAAAAAAAAAAAAAAAAAAAAAAAAAAAAAAATACTGATCACTTCCCCAAAGTAGTACAATGTTACCATAGTAGCATTATACTACTTTGGTCATAGTGCAATATGGAAAAAAAATCTTAAAGAGAAAAAAATATAAGAGAAATTATCAATTTTTTTTTTCGTCACCAGTGTCCCTGATCACCGCCATGCCAGTTATATGATAATGCGGTACTGGTGACAGTATGTGTCTTAAAAAAAAAAAAAAAAATGGAGAAAATCATTTTTTTAATTTCTTCATTTTTTGAAAAATGATGACAAAATTACAACTTCAAAAAACTCACCATGCTTGTTGTGAAATACGTCATACTGTCTACTTTGCAAAAGGGGGTCATTTGGGGGATATCTGTACTATTCTGACATTCTTGGACCTCAAGAAATTAGTTTGGCCGTCAGTACTTCAGGATTGATCAATTTTCAGATATATCCCATAGTTTGTGAACTCTATAACTTTCCTACAAACTAAATAATACATACTAATTTGGGGTTTTTTCACCAAAGACATGTAGCAAAATACATCTTGGCCTAAATTTTATGAAGAACAATTATTTATTTGCAAACTTTTATAACAAACGCAGAATGTGGAGTTTTGTTTTTTCCCCCAAATTTTTTGTTAATTTAGCAAAAACTAAAAACCCCAGTGGTGAATTAAATACCACCAAAAGAAGGTTCTAGTCGTGTGAAGAAAGTTATAAAATTTTAGTTTGGCTACAGTGTTGTATGACCGTGCAATTGTCAATCAAAGTGTGAGAGAGCGCTGAAACCTGAAAATTGTCCTGGGCAGGAAGGGGGTAACAGTGCCCTGTATGGAAGTGGTTAGAACCACTTTTAAGTATTGTTGACCTGCAATATATCTTTTTGTTTTTAGGTTTAATACCGCTTGAACTCCTTCCCGCCCAGCCTAATGTGATATGACAGGCCGAGTGGGAATCTATTATCCTGGGAGGATGTCATATGATGTCCTCCCAGGATCATGCCTCATGGGTCGCACTCTGGCATGATCTGTCACCGGCTATGTCCATGGGACACAGCCGATAACAGATCACTACACCGGCCTGCTGCCAGTGTCATATGATTGCAGTGACCAATCACAGCAGATCACATGACAGTTATAAACAATGAATGGCTTCCTTTCATGCCATTTATTGCTTACAACTGTGCTGTGATTGGTCACAGTGATCACATGTACACACTGGGCCAATCACAGCTCATCTGTAGCATGTGATCAGCTATGGCCAATCACAGCTGATCACAACAAAAAAAAACATCTGAGTGAATTAGTTTAATTCAGTAAAAATGCTTGCTTTTACCAATGAAATTAGTTGGTATAAGCATCCCTAAAGTGTAATTAAAAAAATAAAATAAATAAATTCTTGATCCTTTGCCAAGAGTAGTACAATGTTATGGTAACATTGTGGTGTTCTGGTCACAGGAATAGAATCTTTTTTTTTTTTTTTTTTTTTTTTTTTTTCTCCCCCACTGTCACCAGTCGGTGTCCCTGATCACCGCCGCATCAGTTAGTTATATGATAAAAAAAAAAAAGTGAATCTTCATTTTTGTTTTTTTCTTCCTTTTTTCATTTTTCACAAAAAATGACAACTTAAAAAAATTTTCTATGCCGCTTTCCAAACACCTCTTGACTGTATACTTTCTGAAAAGCGGTCATTTTGGGAGTATCTGTACTGTCCGGGCATTTTTATGGTCTCAAGAAATTAGATCTGCCGCTAGTTCATCAGGATTTATCACTTTTTAGATATATACCATAGTTTGTGGACTAATGCACTGATTTGGGTTTGTTTTACCAAAGACTTGTAGCAGAATACACTTTAGCCTGAGTTTGTGTAGAAAGATTTATTTGCAAAATGTTACAATAGAATTGAACTCTTCTTCTCCTTCTTCCTTCTTTCTTTTTTTTTTTTTTTTTTTTTTTTTTTTTTTTTTTTTTTCTCTGTTAGGTTTTAGTACTTGGAAACAAGAGAGATCTTCCTGGGGCTTTGGATGAAAAACAGCTTATTGAAAAACTGTGAGTAATCTAACATTTTTGTATTAAAATCTTGATTATGGTGCTCAGTTTGATTTACATTAGTGTGCTAATTTAGTTTTTGACCACAATGTATCGGTATAAATATTGTGTACAATTTTTGGAAGCTTTAATTTAGGCCCTGTTCACGTGTGGTGACTGGTATTTATCTGCACTGGAAAAGTGCCAGTCACAGAGAAAATGTGCCCTCTTTGCACTGCAATGCAGCCCAGAGGTGCAGTGTGCTGCAATAAAATGCAGACGTGCTGAATTTTATTGCAGCGCCCTGAATGGCACTGCACATCAGCGCAATGCTCTGCACTGCAGTACGGTGACGTGAATTGGAGTGTCACTTTGTGCGTTTAAAACAATGTTGAGGGGAAAAAAAGAAAAGGGTGCTGTGTAATGCGCTGAAATGCACATAACACCGACCCATCACCATTGTTTACTGCAGCCAAAACTGGGAAAGGTCCGCACACTAAACTGCTTTGGTTTAGTGTGCAAGCAGTGTGACTGGTCCCTTTACAAGATTTCTTGTTTTTTGTCTAGAAGTTTTTCATGTATTTACTTGCATTTTGTAACACTGTTACATCTGAGAATTTGGTAGAAAAATAGCAATGTTGCTATTGCTTTGCTCTTTCAGAGCTTAACCTATAAAGTGCAGAATAGTAGAGATAGCACAAAGCCTCACCACTATTCAAAGTCTTATAAAGCCAGCTTTGAAGGAATACATATTTAAAAGTTCATGCAAATGAAGTCACATGTATGTCAACAGTAGATATTGAGGTAACTGCTGGAACCCACTTTTTAACGTCATATGCATGAATGCCAAAAGGAGTGTAGCATAAAAAAAGTGTAGGGTTCAGTATATATTGACATTCAGCACACAAAATCTCAATGTATGCAGTATATCTCAATATATATACAGTCGTGCTCAAATGTTTGCATACCCTGGGAGAAATCATTAAATTTTGGCAATTCATATTGAAAATACAACTGATCAGGCCAAAAAAATTGACATTTATTTAAGGATAGTGATCATATGAAGCCATTTATTATCACATTTGCTTTGCTCCTTTTTAATGCATAACAAAAATCACCCAAATGGCCTTCATCAAAAGTTTACATACCATTTAATGTTTTGCCTTGGTAAAGACACACAAGGTGACACAGGTTAGAATGGCATTATAAAGGTTAATTTCTCACATCCTAAATTGCTGTTAGTGTCTGTGTATAAATAGTCAGTCAGTGGCTCTCACGTGGATGTACTGAGCCATGTGAAGCAGAAAAAACTGTCAAAAGACCTGCGTAAAAAAGTAATAGAACTTTTATAAAGATGGAACAGGATATAAAAAAGCATCCAAAACCTTGAATATGGCAGTCTGTATTGTTCAGTCACTTAAGAAGTGGAAAACTTAAGGATCCCTTGATAGCAAGCCAAGGTTGGGTAGAAGAAGAAAAATTATAGCCACAACTGCCAGAAGAATTGTTCTGACTACAAAAAAATCCCACAGGTAACTTCAGAAAAAATGCAGGCTGCTCTGGAAAAACACTGTGTGTTGTTTTAAGGAGCACAATATGATGATACTTGAACAAAAATGAGCTTTATGGTCGAGTTGATAGAAGCATTTGCTGCACCAATGCCATGAAAAGCCCGGTTATAATATGCCTGACAACACAGTGACACACCTCTCAGCTTCTGACACACTATAATCTGATGTGACGAGACCAAAATTGAGCTTTATGTTCACAACCATAAGAGCTATGTTTAGAGTGTGGTCAAAAGCTACAAGAATACCATCACCACTGTGAACCACGGGGGTGTGTGAGCTCTAATGGCAGAGGGAAACTTGTGAAAATTGATGGCAAGATGAACGCACCATGTTATTAGAAAATGCTGGGAGACTTTTTACATTTTTCTGCACGAAAGCTGCGCATGGATGCTCTCGGACTTTTCAGCACGACAAGACCCGAAGCACAAGGCCAAGCTGACCCTCCAGTGCTTGCAGCAGAAAGAGATGAAGGTTCTGGAGTAGCCATCAGTCTCCTGACCTTAACATCGAGCCATTCTGGGTAGATCCCAAACATGCAGTTCATAAAAGACAACTAAAGACTTTGCATGACCTGGAGGCATTTTGCGAAGATGAATGGGCAGCTATACCACCTACAAGAATTCGGACATCATAGACAATTATTACAAAAGACTGCATGCTGTCATTGATGCTAAAGGGGGTAGTACACAGTATTAGGAACTAAGGTTATGCAGACTTTTGAACAGGGGTCATTTTTTTATTTGTTGCCATATTTTGTGTTATGTTTGTGCCAATCTGCTATGACCTTCAGTTGAATATGAATCCCATAAGAAATAAAAGAAATGTGTTTTGGCTGATTTACTCACGGTTTCTTTAAATATGGTATATGTTGTATTACAATTTTCTGAGGGTATGCAAACTTTTGAGCACAACTGTATACACTGTTATACCAGTGTTGACCTGCTTCTTGGGCCAATACTAAACACATAGGTCTGTGAAAATGGTTTGCTTTCAGCTGTGCAGATTTTGTAATCCTTATACTCTGGATTAATTTTTCCAGCAAACTTCTAAAATCTGTGGTTGAATTCCTCCTCCTTTTTTTTTTTTTCCTGCCACAAACTTGCAAAAGGTGGCATTAGTGAGGTTGAGTGTTGATGATTCAGTAAAGTTGAGGTTAGTGTCCTCTCCTTTCTCAGCTGCCTTTGCCTTAATGTGCAGTGTTCTGTATGATTAGAAATTTTGTTTGCTGTAGCAATACTAAAAACATGGCAGTGAGATCCAGCTAATGCTTGGTGTTTTGTGAATGGTGACGTTGGGGTTTGGCACATTTTTTCCGTTGATGGCAGGTTTTGGGCATAACCCGAGGTCTTGCCTTTTAGTCTGAGCCTGTGTTGCCATACTGCCATGTAAGTGCAACGATTCTATACGTGAGGAGACACTTCCTCTGTTTGGTGGGTGCCCCTAGCTCACATTCTACTAACAGTTCTTAAACATTTTGCAGCACTTCTTCTCATGGTGCTGATGTCTGCAGCCTAAGTACATGTTATACTCTATTTGAGTCTGTTTCATCCTTAGAGACCTCCTTGGCTCCGTCTAGCATGGCTGAGCCCTCTCCTAACTCGGCTCAGGGGTCATGGGAAAACCTTATGTCCCAAATTACCCAGTTACTTGCAATTTCTGATGGCATAGGTCATAAATTCTATATCAGATTTGCCTCCACCACCTTAGGGGCTTCCGAGGCATCAGAATGCTTGAGTCTGAGGCAGACCAGCATGAAGGTGTGCAGTCACAATCCACAGTTAGTGGGTGTTTTACTGTTTGCGGACACTTTAATTTCAGACGCGTGCAGAAGGATGTGTCCCATTTTCCCTCCTTGCCACTTCCGATGTTCCTCACCTCCAATTTTTTCTGTGTAACTAAACAGAATAGTAGATTTTCATCAAGCTCTCTGTTCTTCTGGATAAAGGTGCCATTGTTCCAGTGGCAGAACAGTATTGGGGGTTTTACTCCAACCAGTTCACTGTTCCAAAGCACAGAGGGAGATTGTGCCCCATTCTGGATCTCAAAGTTCTAAATGTCTTAAATCAAGTCCTGAAAGCTTGCATGGAATCTTCAAATCTATCATCTCCTACCCTCAACAGAGGGACCTACTGCCTTAAGTGGACATCATATACTTAGTTACATGTCCCTGTCTTTTCAGCACATTAGTAATTCCTCTGCTTTGTTGTGAAACCTCTAGACTACCAGTTCATGGCCTTGCCCTTTGCCCTCCCCCCTTCAAAAATTTACCAAGTGCTGGTGCTTATATTGGCTCTGTTGCAAGTTACTGGCATCCCCATTGTGGGATACTTGGACAACCTTTTGAGAAAACTCTTGACGCAAATCCCCCCCCCCCCCAACAACAATGTTGACTGTGGATATAAATCCTCAACTGTCACATTTGTCATTGAAACAGATTGATCTTCTAGTCTGACCTGTGTCCAGAACTAGACCAATTTTCCAGGGTGTTCTTTCCAGAGGAGAAACGTCAGATGAACTCCTGTCTCCGAATCAGACTCTCCAGTCCTGAAGCCGCCTGACTCACTTTGGCTGGTCCCTGCTGAACCCGTCAAATTTTGATTCATCTATGGACACATCTAAAGCATGATTCAGTAGTTAGTAAGGCACAGTTATGTAGTTAGTAAAGCATAGTTCAGTAGATTGAAGGGCAGATTTCTCTGCATTACAAACTTCTGATCTCTTAATTCTCCATTACAAACTACTGAACTCTGCATACAACCTACAGATGACAGTCTCATAAACTTAATTTTTTGGGCTTGTTGCGCATTTTTCCACACTGCACAAAAATGCTCTTTTTTTTAATGGCACCCCCAAACCTCTAGAAAATGTGCGTTTTTGCATGTACACCTGCTAAACACATGGTACCACAGTACCACACATTTTGGTGCAGCGCAATTTAAAAAATCTTTTTTACATGTTTCACACGCATAGGACAGCCCATTGAAAAATGCGAAACTTGAGATCCTGCAAAAAAGCGTTTTGTGCTCGGACACACTTTCTGGGGTGGATGAGCGTTTAAACTGGTGTGCCCCAAGTTTGTGCGCAATCCTAAAAGGTGCCTTGACTGAAAAATGGTTGAAAAACACTGCTCTATTGTACTGATAAGAGATGCACAGGGCTAGAAGATAGCAGAACTGCAGATGGTGGAGGAGATGCTAACAATCAGAAGGGGCACACCATATTCAGCTAAATGAAACTGAAAAGGGGGCAGTAGGTACTTTGCTGTAGCTTTCCCCATAGGAACACCCATAATTTAAACCTCGGCCCTGAGGAGAAGCTGAAAGTTGGTACAGGTAGAAAGAAACGTGCCTTTATTTTCCAACCACAGCACAGATCTGAATAGGACAACACTTGGCCACTTATTTGATTCAATAAATATTTTTTGCTCTGGTGATTTTTTTTTTTTTTTTTTAAATAGAATGATTAAGAAATAAAGACTTTATAGAATGAATTGAGACTTTTTAATGGTATATAATTGTATGGTGCTTTTTTTTTTTTTTTTTTTTTTTTTATAATTTTACATCTTTTTCTTGTAGAAATCTTTCGGCTATTCAAGATCGAGAAATTTGTTGTTATTCTATTTCGTGTAAAGAAAAAGATAATATAGGTAGGTTTTGGTTATTTACAAATGTCCTCCAATTGATTTCTGCCTATTATAATGGCTGTTTTTTAGTAAATGTTGCACACATTTCTCTAGGCAAGATGTTAGTATTTTCTGTTCACAAGTTTTTTTTTAGGGATACTGTGCTATAATTTTTTTTTTTTTTTTTCATTTTTTTTTTTTTTTTAAGACCCCAAACATTCATTAGGTTTTTATGAGGTTCAGTGAACTTTTATATAGGTTAGTCATAATGGCCTTTAAATTGGTTGTAAAGGTAGAAGGCTGTTTTATCGTCATGCCTTCTGAGTGAAGCTTACCTTCAGCCCCTCTCTTGTACTCACCTGAGCCTGATCCAGCAATGTGCACAAGAGCTGGAATTCTTTCGGCTCCATCACTTTTCATTGGCTTGGAGACAGCAGCGGGAGCCATTGGTTCCTGCTGCTGTCAGTCACAGCAAGTGAGGAGGGGATTTGCTGGGTCACACTGTGTGTCTTTTCAGCACATAGAGCGAGCAAACCCGCACAAGTGCTTCCATAACAAGCATCTTGCTGTGGTGGGTGGGGTGCTGGAGGACCCAAGAAGAGGATCAGGGCTACTCTGAAAAATCATTGAGGATTTAAGTGTGCCATTTTTGTTTTTTGAAAAAAAACAGAACTTTTAAAATCACTTTTTGTCATGTTTCACTCCAGCTCTGTACACCCCTTACCAAAGTATTTTTAACCTTGGCCTAATTTGGATTTTTTTTTTTTTTTTTTTCAATATAGTGCTGTAAAACACAATTCTTTAGAATTTGGTTGTAAAGACTAAAGGTTTTCACCTTGATTTGTTCTCTGTATATTAAGGTTAAAAAAGCCTTCCAAGATTGGAACATTGAAAAATAAGTTTAATGAATGGTTAGACAATTTTGCTTTTTTTTTTTTTTTTTTTTTTTTTTTTTTTAAAATCACATGCTATCCCAGTGACCATAGTCAAATCGGTGATTCACTGCAATTGGGAGAAGGGCAACAAATATAGTTAATATGTCATCAAACTAAAAGCTTTGTTCCTTTTCAAGTATTAAAGCATGCAAAACCAGACTGTAAATGGCATATCCTCACGGACATTTCTGGTTGAAGGGTGATGTTGAGGATCGAAATCCAGCTAGTTCAGCAGAGACTGGCTTAATTTGGATTCTATGGCCTCTTTGGTTGAACAAAAGTCAACCTACTGATTGATTGTCTTCTGTTAAACCACCTTGTCAGATTTTAGCTTCTTGATCAGTGCTGCAGGGTATAGACTGTAGTGCTGATCAATGTATTCTCCCCATATGTGGATGGGTGAATCAGGTCAGTTTTTTGTTCAACCAGCTTGTTGTACAACAAAAGTGTCTCCTCTTGCCAGCATTAGACTGTGCAGTCACAAGCCTTCCTGACATCCAAAAGCTCTGAACTCTTTCAAACTAATTGCTAAAAAGTCAGTGAGGGTTTTATTGGGTGGGTTGAGGTTGCCCCAATGATTGCTGTCTTAAGAATGAGTGTGTTTAAATTGTGTGAACTCAGGAGGTTCAAAAGCACATAATAGGAATATAGTCATGTGAAGTAGCCCACATGAAAATTTGTTGACTTTGACACCGTTTGAGTGAAGATCTAATGTTTATTAACAAAGTACACAAACATTTTACCTTTTCAATAACTCAACAAAAGTTTTTTTTCACAGTACACCCCTTGGCATCAAAATCCCTGGAGAAGAAATAATTTGTAGTTATTTTGTTTAAATGCCCAATGGCACTTGTATGCAAAATTCCTTCAGTTGCAAGATTGGATAGATGGTCATTCTCATCAAATACACTTTTTGACACTTTGTTATGATGAAGAATATATAGTTGACTCACTGACTGCGTGCTGTTCAGCAGCAGCAAAGCAACTCCATACTATAACATTTTCACCACATGTCACAGTTGTTAGAGGTTTTTCTCTTTTTAAAATGCTGTTTTTTGGTTTGACCACAGTAAAAGTAGACATTTTTGTTGCAGACAACTCTAGCCTTGTTCCTTGGAATCCTGCTCCAGCACTGTTATGAAGATTAAATTGGCGCAATATTTTTATGATTGTACATGCTAGTGCAAGTGTTGTCTGAACACACTTACATTTTGGGTTTTTTGGAGACTTTAACATCAAAGGTCTGCTCTTGATGAGTTAAATTTGCTCAAGCGCCAGTCGGGGACAAATTGGCAATGGTTTGTTTATTCATCACTTGTAGGTTTATTTTCTTCACTGTGAAATGATTGCTGCCAAGTCATTTGGAGATCTTTTTTAATCCCTTGCCAGACTTGTAGTTATTCATAACTTTTTCTAAGGACCTTTCTTGATCTTGGCATTATGACACCACACATCAATAGCAGGTTCTAACCTGGAACACTTGATTCTAATTTCATGGATTTGTAGTGGCAAATATAGGGGTAAATATTGAAAGTCAACAATTTTTCAGTGCAGTCTACTTACCTTTTCACGTTACTGTAATTTAGAATTTAATGCAAAAAATTTAATTTAAAGGGTTGACCTTTTCAGAAGTAATGAAAAGATGGACTCCACCCTTACACTCTTCCCACCCCTCATCCCCACTGTACTGACCTCAGTGGGTGATGAGCTGGCAATGCCCACGCAGCTGGTGTAGCGGTGCAGGTATTCACACCACAGTGCGCAGGCTGTCTTTCTTCATTATCAGTAAGCCGTTTTTCTACACTGCTTTTAGTGCAGGAGATTCCATAGTTGGCTGACACTATTGCCTGGGCTGGAGTCTGTGCTAAACCATAGCAGGTCACGTCATGTGGCATTGCCTCTTTTCAGGATCCCCCCCAAGCTGTTTAAAGTGGTCTGAAGATGCAAGTCAATGATCTGATCCACCCAAAGGTGTTGATGAGTGGATCCTTGACTGATGGCTCCACTCCATTTGCATTACCTGGGGGAGCATCTGAAAAACTGAGGCAACGTCACAGGACAAATGACCTGCTTCAGCCTAGCCCCGCTCTCTGCCTGGGCCATGCTGCAGTTAACTTTTTTTTTTTTTTTTTCATAATGTGGGTCATTAAAAAAAAATTATTATATTCCTAAAGTGGTTCTTGAATACTGTTTGGGTTTTTTTTTTTTTTTTTTTTTTTAAGCCTATTTATCAATAAAAGTACAGGATTTCAAAATAACATGCATAATCCACCTAGGTGGATGCAAAATTGATCGTTCAGATCTCGTTAATAGAGGCAGCTTGAACCAAATGTACACTTCTGTTTCCTGTTTGTAATTACAAGTGTTCATCCTTTTATCTTCCTTTTTCAGACATTACATTGCAGTGGCTTATTCAGCATTCCAAGTCCAGGCATTATTGAGGTCCCAGCACCTGAACCTTCTTTTCCCAGCGTCTTTTGCATTCTGCCCCTCCTGTACCGGCAGAAAGGCGAATGAAGGCGGTTGCTACTAGAATTCACACATCATTTGGAGCAGTTTATGCAAACTTCACCTACCATTTTTTCTTTGTTCTTCAGTATGAGATCAGACACATGGTTTGTTCATATTTTATACTTTTTCAACCCCTTTTTAGCACTAAAGGATTTTCAGGGCAACGTTTAAATTTATTGGATTACTTGTTCAGCTAAATTTGGTGCATGTCTAAAGTTAGCCACTTACAGTTTGCTCTGCTCTGTGTTCTGGTAGTAGCAATGTGAGATGATGCACTTCCTTTATTCAGTTTTTTGTTTTGTTTTTTCATCTACCATTGCAGACCTGTTTTTTTCCTTGTGTATTTACTGCTCTTTAAAAAAAAACATAATTACTTTTCCACTCTTTCCCTGTACTGGATTTTTATGTTTTGCCTATATATAAGCACTTCATGATATTGTTCCACTCTACCAAATCTATTTTATTTTATTTTTTTGTATTTTTTTTTTTTTTTCTGTCAGAACATCTTATGCTATATAAAAACCAACGGCAGGTTGAACTTGAATGTGTATGTATTTGCCTTGGAAACTTTTTTAATTAAGTTGCTGTAAATATTAATATAACTCATCAGGGTTGCCTTAAATGTATTATGCATAATGGTGTGTGTCTGCCAAAGGTATTTTCTTGAGATTTTCAATCATTGGGAGTAAAGTCTAGATTATGTTTACAGGTTATCTTTTCTAGTTATTTTTCACATTTTACAGTAATATATAAACATCCTTACAGTACTGCGTGTAGAATGTTGAATAATGCTATTTTTATACCCCCTTGCAACTCTTTGCAGCTGTGTCACTCTACTTTCTTAATTATAACCAGAAAGTCTTTCCTGTTGCCTAGTCCTATCCCTTTTAAACCTACACCACAAGTAGTAACTGTCTTTGGTGCAAATTGAATTTTTGTGAGACAAATTGGTGAATAATTTTATTGAAGTCTTCAGAAGTAAATGTTCATCTTGCTAGAAGAGGCATCTGTTATTTCTGTAATTTGAAACCAATTTGCCACTATTATGGAAAAGCACTTTAAAACTCTTTCCCTTGTTTTTCTATGCATTGTTCTCAAGGCAGTAATTCACATTCATTATGGACATAGAGTTAGTTTATTTGTGGCATCCCTGTTGTAGTACAGTATGTGGATGTAGTGAAAATGATTGTCTGAGCCTATATTAACTTGCTGCTCTTTAACAACCTGCCCCGGGGCACCAAGCTCAACTCCATTATACTATGGTTATAAATTATGACAAAACTATGAAATATTGATGTTTGTCCATGCATGTCAGCTTCTATTAATTGTTATATTTGGATGAACTTTATTTCAATAAAAAAGGTGGACAGTTTTCTGTGATCCCAGTTTGTACTTTTTTTTGTGCCTCCCCCCCGGTTTACCTAATTTTTTAAAGACTTCTGACGTGACTCACACTTTGCACGTTTTTTTTTTTGGTTGACTTCCTTTGTTAATGTTATGGTTTCCTTTAGAGTATACCTCCTTTTTTTTTTTATTTTAAAACAAAACAAAAAAAAAAGTTAAAATGCATAGATGTAGGCAGCCATGGCCAGCATTTCCCCCCCACAAGTGTGAGGTGTTTGTTTTTTTTTTTTTTTTTTTGTGCACTTAGTGCACACAAACACATTATTATTATTGTATTTTTTTGATAAAATATAAAAGATGTTCTGCTGAGTAAATACACACAGAAAGGAACTCGCTGTGTATTTCTGCCACCAGTCGGATCCGTTCCAGGCTCCCTGATGAGATGGGAAAGCCCAGGAAAGGTAGTGGTGGGGGGGGGGCACCTCCTTCCGCCACCTATAGCAGTGATCGAGTGGCTGCATAGCTACTTATATCACTTCTGCATAAAAGAGCATTGGCTGCTGATAGGTAATGGGACTTTTTTTTCTTAAAGTTTTCTTACCTTAATGCATTCCCTGCAGAAATGTTGTAGCATTTGCTGTGCCCCCCCAACATGTGCCTGTATCGATCCAGTGCTGTGCCCGGCTGCATGTGGTCTCTTTTCTCTCCCCATTCTCAGACTTTGCAAACTCAGGTGAAGCCATTGTTTCCTGCTACTGTCCATCAAATCCTGTGAGCAGAAAATCGGGGGGTGGGGCTGAGCTGCGGTGTGTGTGTGTGTACGGTCTGGTTTGGGACAGCTCCTGTATGAGTGCCCCCATAGCAAGCAGCTTGCTATGGGGCACTCGGAGAAGAGAAATCAGGGGGACGGGGCTGAGCTGCGGTGTGTGTGTGTGCGCGCACACATGGTCTGGTTTGGGACAGCTCCTGTATGAGTGCCCCCATAGCAAGCAGCTTGCTATGGGGCACTCGGGGAAGAGAAGTGGAATTTATCAGCAGGGGATCTCCATTGCACAGATCAGGTAAGCAGAACATATTTTCTAATTTTATTTTCAAAAAAAAATTGCCTTTACAACCGCTTGCAGAAAATGTATTAAAGTGGTAGTTAACTCTTTTTGTATACTTTTTCCTACAGGTAAGCTTATGATAAAGCTTACCTATAGATAAAGTGAATACCTCCTAAACGTGCACTGTTCAGGAGATATTCGCTTTTTGACAGCCGGCGCATGCGCTCTGAAAAAATGGCATACCTGTGCTGTTCCTTCAGAGCCGTGTGCCATGGCCTGAGACGCCCATGCACGGGAGTGACGTCATCATGACTCGGCCAGCAGACGCCGGAGCTTGCAAAAATTGGAAGGAGGACCCAGTGAAGATGGAAGCCTCTGCAGTGGTGACAGCGTGCCGCTAGAGGTGTTCACTTTAAGGCAAGTTTTTCATAGTGTGCTAGTATGCAATGCATACTAGCACATTATGACATTATCTTGCAGAGGAATTTTTTTATTTTTTTTTTTGGTGTGGGTTAAGGTGTAAAAAAATTTGACTTTATAACCACTTTAATTTTTGCTATACATTGTAACGCTCCAAAGCAATAGATCAGGTCTTTAAAAAAAATAAACTGTAGAAATCCAAATATTTAAAAAAAAAAAAGCATTTCTTTGAATATTGCAATGTTTGTAACTTTAATTCATCCAGTCCATACAAGCCCTGCTAGGGTTGTGTTTTAAACCAGAAGATTTGGCTTAAAGCGGTATTAAACCCAAGACTAAATATATTACAACTTACCAATCATTAGATGTGGTGACTGCATTAGTTTTTCCTGGTTCTAAATGGCCCTTCATGTTATCCTATGTGTCCATGCACACCTGTACTTTTAGAAGTTTTTAGTAGCAGTAGCTTTTACCAGCAGGAAAAAAATACCCTGGGCCAGTGCATCCAGGAGCAGCAGCTTTTTTGGCGGGAAAAAAAAAAAGAAGCTACATGCGTTAAACACTTGGGCATTAATTCATTTCAATGGCCAGAATAAATTATTATTCTGGCCAATGAAGTTAATGTCCAAGCACTTGGTGCCTGTAAATGCACCTAAACGATTGTAAAAGCATTAGACACTTTGACAAGCGTTAGGTGGTTTTTTTTTTTTTTTTTTCTGGCAAAATGCTGCCAAGAGGAGAAGCTGTTTTTAAAATGACCTGTGTGCACGAGGCCTTAGAGCAGGGGTGTCAAGCTGGCGGCCCTGCAGCTGTTGTGAAACTACAAGTCCCATCATGCCTCTGCCTTTAGGAGTCAGGCTTGCAACTATCAGTTTTGCAATGCTTCATGGGACTTGTAGTTTGGCAACAGCTGGAGGGCTGCCGGTTTGACACCTGTGCCTTAGAGTAAAAAAAAAAAAAATTACATGCTTCTTTACTGGTGCATCCGGCAGCCCATTCAAAGGAAAGAGTTGCCGAAGCACAATATACCATAGCATGAACCTGGTGCAGACTCAACTGGTCTGCACACCCCTCTTGGAGGTTCTGATATGAGGTCTTCCTTACCTTAATATTGTAATGTATCTGTCACTTTGCGCAGTCATGGAAGTCATGTTTTGTATTAAGCTGTTTCCTTCAGTATTTATGTAATTGACTGTGATGGAACCTGCCTATTCTCTTTTGAAAAAAAATATAATATAGTGTACTTCCCCCTCAGCCCTGTGTGCAAGAAGACAGTGTGGTGTCCCTCCTGTAACTATTCAATTCTGTGAGTGTTTTTAATAGCAAATTAAATTATAGCACATTCATAATAAACTCAATTGCAGCACCTGCTCAACAGATTACTTATGCAATATTTCATGCTTACCTGACACTGTTATTTTTAGACTTCCCTACTATAGTCATACGGACACTCTCGTGTGACATCAAATCGCCACCCCCTGCTTTTTGCTGCTGAGAAAAATCCCTTGTGTTTTTGAGGGCTCTACATAGAAACATGGCTGCAGATAAACAGGTACACCTTGAGTAGGAGGATTTGTTTCATCTCTGTGTATCACCTGAGAATAGTCACTTCACTGGGTATAATGTAAAGATTCACCCCCACTTTAAAGTGTATCTTTGGATCTGCCTAGAGTTCAGCTTTAATCCTTTTGCTGCCAGGTCCGTACAATGTACAGACCTGACAGGTGTGGGGGGGGTTTATACACAATCCAGTGACTGCAGCCACCGGGATTGTGTGTGTATATAAAAAAAAAAAAACCCTGACAGGCAATACACGTTGCATATTGCTGAACACGGTGGAGTGAGAGCAATAATTCTAGCACCAGACCTTCTCCGTAATGCTAAACTGATGACCTACAGGGGCTTTTGAAGCGTGTATAGAAAATATAGGGTATTGAAGTTTGATGCAATTGCACGCGCCACACAAATTTAAGGTTTGGCGTGTTTGTTATCTATCTACTCAGCACAACCTTGTCTGTTAGTTACCAAAAATGTAGGTAATTAAGTGCATTTTAGGGCAAACAAATGCAATAAAGTGTGTGTGTGTGTGTGTGTGTGTTGCCTACCGGGGACTTTTACCC